CATCAGTGATCTCTCCTTCCTAGTTATATGTTTATCTCAAATACTTTTCTTTATATTTTTTAGTATTTTGTCCGTACACCAATTTTAACAACTTTATGTCTCCGTTTGGAAAGTGGGTTGGCTTTTTAACTTTTTAGCTTTTTTAGCTATTTTAGCCTGAGCTAAAAAGCTTGGTTTGGGAAGGGCTTTTTAGCTTTTTGGTTTTTTTGACTTTTTTTGTGAGAGAAGAGTGTAATGATTATGAGTTGGATGTGATGTTTTGTTTGTTATGGCTAAAATAGCCTATTTTGTTTTTTGTGGCTAAAATAGCCAAAAAAGCCCAACCAACTTCTTCCCAAACGGTGCCTATATGTTTTGTCCACTACCACCTTTTACTCATCAGGATATCTAAACTCTCATTGAAAGGATGAAGTGATGATTAAACTCACTATGGGTTGGTTTGGCAAGTGTTTATTGGACTTTTTTGACTCAATGAGCCATAAAAGACAGAATAGGCTTATGAGCCATAACAGACAAAACATCCCATTCAACCCCATAATCATTACACTCTTTTCTCACAAAAAAAATCAAAAAGCCAAAAAATCAAAAATTCTTTCCAAACCAAGCTTTTGAGCCCAGACTCATATAGTCAAAAAAGTTAAAAAGCTAACCCACTTTCCAAATGGAGGGACCCTCTTAAGGCTATTCTTCGTAATCCAGCTGAAGTAAGGGATTAGCTAGAAAGATGGTCTTTAGTGCCAATAGTTTGAAAATGGAAAGCAAAGCAAGGCATTAAGGCATAAAAGACAACCACCAAGCTTGATGAAGAGCTACAAGCCAAGAGCTTTGCTATTAAAGTAAACTAGCATATCATCTGTGTTATGTATGAATTGTATTTACAATTATTTATATATGTGAATTGTGATTTTTAAATATTTTTTTTAAAAGTCTTTTTTTTAATTTTTTTATATTATATTAAAGTTTAATATTTTGACAATAATCTTATATGTTGGACTTTTCAAGGAATTAAATGTCTTTTATTATTATTATATTATATTAAAGTTTAATATTTTGATAATAATCATATGGACTTTTCAAGAATTTTTTTTTATACTTGTTCTTAATGTATTAAAATGTTATTATGATGGATAATAATCATATGTATTGGGACTTTTCAAGAAATTCATGTGTTAGATTTCAAAGAATTTTTTTTATACTTGTTCTTAATGCATTAAAGTGTTATTATGATGGTAAGACTTGGTAGAAGTTAATAAATACTAAGATTTTTTTTAAGTGTTATTATGAGGGATAATAATCATATGTGTTGGGACTTTTTAAGGAATTCATATGTATTGGATTTCAAAGAATTTTTTTTTTTATGATTATTCTTAATGTATTAAAGTGTTATTATGATGATAAGACTTGAGAGTTGGGAGAAGTTAATAAATGCTAATATATTTTTTTTTAAATCAAAAAATTTAGATTGAGAAATTAAAACTCTTATCAAAAAGTGTTATTATGATGGTAAGACTTGGTAGAAGTTAATAAATACTAAGATTTTTTTTAAGTGTTATTATGAGGGATAATAATCATATGTGTTGGGACTGTTTAAGGAATTCATATGTATTGGATTTCAAAGAATTTTTTTTTTATGATTATTCTTAATGTATTAAAGTGTTATTATGATGATAAGACTTGAGAGTTGAGAGAAGTTAATAAATACTAATATATTTTTTTTTTAAATCAAAAAATTTAGATTGAGAAATTAAAACTCTTATAAAATTTGGAGTTAAAAATTTCATTTTATTTAATATATAATATAGATAAGTAGCCCCCCTCACTTAATCCCCCTCGGGGGAGGATAGCTCAGTTAGAGCAGGCCTTTAATAGATAAGGGGAGGTTTTAGAATTCCCAAGCGCCTAGTCAGTTGAAGGGTCCGTTGAAGGTTAGCATCGATTGTGCGTGAATGTACTTGTGGAAAACTATTTGCTAAATTTGAGGAGCCAAATTATACCAAGTGAAAAACTTTGATGTGATCAAGTTCAATTCTTAAGGAGAAGTTATTTCATTAACGCTGTGTTTGGTTGGGGGATTTGGGAAGGGAAATGGAAAGGGAAATGGAAATGAAAGGAAAAGGAGAAAGAATTAATAGAATTCCAAATCCCAACTATGTTTGGTTGTGTTGGTTATAAAATAGAATTGATGTCCTAAAAGGTCTCCTATTTCTTTGAAATTTAGGCATATTTTATTTATATTTCACCTACCTTTTCCATTTCCCTTTCCAAATCCTTCCTCAAATCCCTCAACCAAACACAACGAAAAGGTCTCCTATTTCTTTATTTATTTCTCACCCCCTTTCTTTTCCCATATATTTTTTATTATAACCAAACATAAATAGGATTACATTTTTCATTCCTTTTCCAAATCCCACCCCAAAAATCTCAACCAAACACAGCATAAGTGTTTACGGTCTTAAATATTCTATACACTAGCATTGTTGTAGTTATTTCTTGAACTATTACTCTATTCTATTCGTAATTAGGGTTGCAAATAAATATTTAATGAATAGAATTCGAGTTTGATTACTTAAGCTTGACTTAAACTCAGTTCAAGTTCGAGCTTGACTACTTCTTAATAAATAAGTTTGCCACTAAAAAATTCGGCTTAGCTTGTTTGTATCTCTATTCACAATAGAACACTTATTCAGGCTTTGTTTGGCAAGAGCTATTTTGATTAAATTAGTCAATAATACAAACTATCATATTTAAACCATAATAATTTCAGTTTTTTCCCCATCATAACCATCAAATCAACTATAAAAAATGACAATTTATCAAAAACATAATTTTTTTAGTTAGATTAAAATAGCTCAAAAAATTAAAAAATTAATCTAAAATTAGCTCATCACAAACAAAAGCTCAATTGTCTTCTAAAATGAGATAGATCTGACTGTTTCGATCAAAGAAAATTAAATTGTCTAACAACACCAAATAATTTTCCATTATTGAGCGTGGGAAGCTAGCAGTGGTCCCAAAACAGCTTAGAGTAGAAGGCATGGCCGCCAGCCCAAAATGTCAATGAAGGATGGTTGGCAGTGTGTCCGTTGGTTTAACGGTCATATATTTCCCCAATCGAATTTGATGTTTACCCCCTACCGTCCGCCTGTTGGGATTTTCATCATTTTGTTCACCCACTCAAAAAACAGATATCAATAACGCTACGGACAAAATTGCTAATCTCACATTTTATTTGAGGTTTTTGATCATTTATTTAGTAAAAAATTAAAATTCTATAACATTTTTTTTTGGATAAAAAATAGTAGGGTATAATTTTAAGCAGTATCTCAAAAATATTACACAAATTTTATTAAAAAATATCAATTTACCATTTAAATTTATTTTATAGTTAAACTCACATTACATCAATTTAATCTCCGCCATCCAAACATATTATTTATCTGACACAATATCATTTTTCAATTTTAAGTGGGTAAATGCACTTTTTAGATATAGAACTTATTATTTTAAACCAATTATAATTTGCGTATTATTCATACAAAAATGTTGAAGACCTCAAAAAATTCTAAATATTTTATTATACAATACTTATGGGTGTAAGTCCTATACCTATATAATTATTGTATAAAATATTTAGTAATTTTTATAAAAAAACTCTTTTTCAATATATATTTTTTGTATAAAATATTTTTTTATATTTGTTTTGTTTGCAACTTTAAAACTAATGTACTATTGGTAGTATTGGTAGTGTGATTGTATTAATAAGAATTTAATATAAAAATATTTTCGTAAACTCATTTTTTTGTTAATTATGAAAATATTTTGCATTAATTTTTATTTCCTATTACACCAAATATTTTTAAAATTTTAGAATTATTTTCAGTCCAAACAAATGGATTTTCAAAATGTTAATTTCTTCCCACCATGACACATGAACATGAGACCCAGATTAAACCCAACCCAATTCACAACCCTATTTAGGGCTCTGAGAATTTGAATCCATCATGAAAAAGTCTACTTTTATCAAAAAGGCCAGTCTATACTTTTTCAATTTTAGGCCTCGATCCAAATAGGCCCATTCTGATAACAAAATCGAATCGAATTGAATATCGAGCCCGTTTGGTGTAGCTGTTAAAACAATTTATAAATTATAACTTTAATAAGAAGTTGTTAATTTGGTTGGTGTAACTGTTAAATTATAGATTTAAGTTGCTGAGCAGTGTTTGTTAAATAAGCTGTGAAATAACTTTTTTAATTAATTTTTATTTTTTGTTTGTCTACATTTTTTATAAAAAAAAATAATAATAATCTATAATCCATTTCAATCTTTTTCTATTTTTAAAAAAATAAAAAATAAAAAAATTTAAGAGTATAACCATAAATTAATATGTCTACAGCAGAAACTGATAATCAGAACAAAGGGATGAGCAGTTTCTCAGAATCAATTTTTTTGAGTTAAAATAACCTATTAAAATAAAAAAACTGTTTGAAATAAATTTAACCAATCAATCTAAAATAACATTTTCAAAATTAAAAATCATTAATCGATTCTGAAAAGCCGAAACAAACACCCCCATCAAGCGAGAAGACCGAAGGCGGGTTTTCTATACACAAAACCCTTCGCTGTCTCTTATCTTCTCCACTGTAGAGAGAGAAAATCTTGGAGGTGGATAAAAATGGCGACGATGTCTCTGGGAGTGTTTTCGAGTTTCTTGGGGGGCGAAACGGCGTCGTTAGCAAAGTCATCGTCGTTGTCTTCTTCTTCTCTCTGGCTAGGTGTTCGGTCGCTTCCAACTTCTCAGGCTAATCTTCGGGCCGTAACTTCGGCGACAGCATCGAAGCCATCGACGGCGACCCAAAAGAGAGAGCCGAGAGGCATCATGAAGCCCGGCCGAGTCTCGCCGGAAATGCAAGCGTTCCTTGGCGGCGTCTCTGAGATTCCTCGCACCCAAGTCCTCAAGCAGATTTGGGCTTACATCAAACAACATAACCTTCAGGTCTCTCTCTCTCCCTAAACCCTAATATCTTTTTGTTTAGAATTGGTCCTGGAAATTTTTGTTTTTGTTTTTGTTTTTGTTTTTGATGTGTTTGTGTTGAATGTTGCTTTTTATTATTCTGTATTGATTTATTTTAGTTTTTTTTTTTAAATGACTCTGTGGTGGTAGAGATGGAATTTTAGTTTGTTATCTTTAGGCCATCTCAAGCCCTTACTCAAATTTTCAGTGAAAGCTTTATTTGATACAGACAAGCCCAGATTTAAGTATAAATTTTAGCAAAAGCTTCACTAATGGCAATTTGAGAGCCACAAAGTAGCCTTGAAAATTTTGAGTAAACATTTGAGTCTTCCCTTGATTGGGGTAAAAGTTTGAGTAAAACTCAATTTGTTATAAGTTTGGGTCAAGATGTGGAGTGTGTTTTGAGTGATTTTTACCCAAATTTAAATTTGATATATGTTTGAGTCAAGTATTGGAGATGCTCTACAAGTGTGGTTTCATGAGTTATTTCTTCTTATTTTCTGATGCGGATATACTTTTGTTGGGTAGATAGAACGAGCTTCAAAAATATTAACCCCCATCGCTGAATTGAGCTTGGACATGTTAGCTTTCCTACATTTTTTTGAGAATAATCAAGTAAATGAAACGTTAATATGTGTTTAGTGAGGTTTCACCTCTGTTTCGACTTTTGGATCATTTATTTGTTCTTCATGATGTTCTTATATGTGGTTAAGGTTATGTTGGCATAGCACCAATATGAGTTTTGCTACTAATGTATGCTTTATTTGATTATGTTTCTCCCTCAAGTTGGTTACGAGTTATTGTTTGGATGCTTAAATGTTTGATTTGTACTACTTGGTTGTTTTAGCAGAGTTTATCTGTCAATTTTTTGGATGTTCATATGTTTCTAAAATGTTGTGCTTGTGTAGATAAAATGCAGATTTTGAGTTCAAAATATTTCTGACTTTCCATTATCTAGTTTTTTTAGGGGTTTATTTGTTTTTATGATGCTTTTATATGTTTGTTTTGGTGTGGATGAATTGTGGTTCTTTTTTCCCCCCCTCCCCTAGATGTAAGATTGGGTTATATTTTGTTTCTACATATTTTCTTTAGCTTCATTCTTTTTGGACTTTAGATGGGCTATAATATAGTTATGGAAGGTATCTTATATGTGGATGAGGCTGTTGATGGATGAAATGTTGATGGTCACTGGCATACTTGAGTTTATATTGCATGTTATGTAAGGTATCTTCTTCTGTGCAGATGATCTATGTTTTGGTATTGCATGTTCTTTTAGCTGGCCAAGGTCAGTTCTTTCAATAATCATCTGTCTACACAATCCTCCGGGGGAATTTTGTTGACACTTTTATATTTTACGTGCAAATGCATACACATATTGTTGCTCTTGAAAATTATAGAAAAAGGTAATGTTTGTACTTATTTATTTATTATTATTAATTAAGAGTCTTATGAATTGCATCCATCTTCTTTGGGACCCATTGCACCTACGTGGGTAAGACTACTGCACATGACTGCTGAAGTGATGAATCTTGTGTGAAGTCTTAAGATGGTGGAGGGGAAGCTATTGGTGTAATGTAGAAAAAGAGCTGCAGTTATCCATTGGATACATAAAATAAGGTTCATGCTGAATGAACATTTGTTCCAATGCATCTGAGCTCCAATAAAATGCATACTCTTGCTTGTTTGGATGTCCTAATTTGAGAATTTGTGCTGAGAAGCCCTTGAAATAGTGTGGAGAAGGATATTGGCATTTACAATTTAAAAAATTTAGAATGTGTCCATGCGTGTCTATATGTATTTATAACCCACGGTTAGTCATTTGGGTGTGCAAGTAATAAGAAAGTCAACCAGCTTTAGAGATCAACTTAATGGTAATTTATGCTGTTGTTGGTTATCAGCATTGGGGTAAAGTTGTTTTGTGCAAACTTTTATTATGATACTGTACATGGTGAGAAATGGTAATGTTTGAAGATTTGTGATTACCACTACTACTGAAATCAAGAGGCAGTTATTTGGCTGAAGAGATGGCCGATCTATGCTCCTGTGAGAGTAAAGACACTGATTGGAGAAAGCTTGGTATTTTCTTTAGACTACTAAATTTTTTAATTTTTTGTGGGTCTCTTTGTGTTCTATTTGCATGAGTTTTAGACTTCTAGCTAATGAAGAAAAATAAATGGGTTTTGATATCTGGCACCGGTATATTCGTACAAGTGTCCAATAGGCACTCGCTGATCTATGATAAATTGAGATGTGAAATTACTCTTCTATGTTCTTTTTTGGAAAAAATTAACTTGTTGACTACTTATGGCAATCTTTTGTTGTCAGTTTGACATGTGTGGAATGCAAGATGGGAGGAGTCACAGGTGGGAGTTTCCTTATACTGTCTTGTTTAAGATGCAGGATTAATGTAGGCTTTTCATTTTCAACTTTAGGCCAATTGTCAAGTTTTGAAGGAATCACGAGCAGCCATCAATTGTCCTTCTGTTGTTTTGGGTCTATAGCATAGTGTAATAATCACTGGTTATATTTCTTCAAAGTAGCTGAAGTTAATGTTTTGATCCATCTATTTAGCCTAATGTATGAGGTCTTGTAGTTCTGTTAAATTTACAAACAACTCGTCAAAATTTAACTCTGGATGTTTGAGATGTGATTGTTCTAGTTTTATCACCACTGGGTGATTTATAAACCATTCCTTTTGCTTGCAATTGAAGCTTATTATTTATTCCAATCACTTGGGGTTGGTTACATGGATTAATTTCCCATTGATTCTATTAGAAGTCAAATCCTTCGTTAAGGTTAAGTTGAAGTTAATCATGTCTTGTCTTATCACCTCACCGCATGTTCAACATGACCTTTATTTCTTCTACCACCTTCCATGTGGATTAAATCACTCCTTACAGGTGCACACTTCATGAACTTCAAAATTTTCCCAGCATTTGGTAACTTCTTTTGTTGTTTGTTTGCATGTGTGTTTTATATAATTCGCTGTTGTTTTTAATGCGGAAAGAAATGTGGGATATGCGATATACTTCAATGAGAAATATAAGTCATCTTGATATGTATATATATATATATGTATTTCCCGCTGTCTATGTATTTACACGCTGACTTGGTTTTTTCGTTTAGGATCCTCAAAACAGGAAGATCATAGTTTGTGATGAAAAGCTGAAGAATATATTTGGTACCGAAAGAGCGAGTTGGATTTCTAGAAATTGCTGGATTAATCAATCCTCACTTTGTTAAGTGAGCTGTTTGCAGGAGAACGGATCTAGATTTTGAAGTCATCGGTGACTGTTCTTTTTGTAAATGGGTGTTTGGGATTTTGTTGATGTTACTACTACATGTACGAATTAGAAAGTGCTATATGCAATTTAGTAGTCTTATTTGAGACTTATTTCCAGGCACGCTTACATACAAGCTGTGCTCTATTTTGGTTATTACAATTGGTTTTGCAATCAGCTCATCTTTTATGCATGATTATGTGCAACTCTCAATTTTGGGCAACTTTCTTCTTTTATTTCAATTCACAGGAAATGATTTAATCTCAATAAAAGGTGAGAGCTGGGTCAACTATCGAGGCAGGGCATGAGAAATCAAAATCTGTTCAAGATATGTTACTCATTGACATGGGGTTTTCCTAGATCATCAGTGCCAGTGGGGAAGCAAAATTCTTGAATTATGGCCGTGCCGAAAAACATGGGTAAGTTGTTCTCTTGCTTCTAAAGCATGAAAGCAGATTATGCTGTTGACATTTGGTCTGCAAACTAAGAAGGTAAAAACATTTTCAATCACATATAACTCACTGCCTAGGAGCAGTAGTATTAACTTCGTTAGCCTGTTGGTATTAGTTTGAGTCTGCCAATTTTGTTTGTTTGGAGTTTGTTTGGGAAGCCACGTGGTGGAAAAAACTCTCTTATCAATTCCTTGACCCAAACACACTCACAAAAATGATGAGAAGTTTGAGAAAAGTAAAATTTAACATTATTGCGATATTTTTTGGGGTTGAAATTGAAAAGGGGAAAGTGGAGATAGAATCTGTTTAGCGGGCAAGGATCTTTTTCTTAGATCTTCTCCTTAGTTTCTTACTTAGTGGGTCATTGGGCTCATTTTTTGGCCTAATTTTGATAATTTGAATCGTTCACATTTTAAGATTTGTCACGTATATTATACATGTAAAAAAACAAGTTGATTGGATATTGAAAATCACGTGAACAAAGTTTTATTAAATAATAAAATTGTTTATTAATTTTATTTTAATAAATGATTTTTAGTTCTTTTGATATTTGATCAATTTAATCTTTTATAAGTATGATACATCTGACAAATTTTAAAATATGAATAATTTAAATCATCGAAATTAGATCTAAAATGAATTCAATAACCTACCAAGTAGAAAGGCAAGAGAGAATCCTTTCTCCTGTTTAGCATGATTAGCTTTAAAGGTGTGATATTCAAGTTGACAATCAACTTGAAAGTGATATATCGAGTGCATTGACCAATCAGTTTTCCATATTTTAATTGGCCGTTGATTTTTTTATTTTTCATTTTTCTTTTAATCTTGCAAATTATTATTATTTTTAAATCCTTTATTTGTTATTATGTTGATTTTTTTTTCATAAATAAACAAATGATGATAATATATTAACAGAATTTATAGATAAAATGATTTGATCTTTTGTGATTATTTCATTTCAAATTAAATTACTTACCATTATAATTTTTAATTAAAAATATAATAATTTATATATAAAATGTACGTATCAAAATTATATTTATAAATCATTTTTCACTAAAGTATCAACATTTTGGTGAATCTCAATATATTTTCTCATATGCATTCTATAACAATGTATTTAATCACATTTAAAAAAAAAATATGTATTTAATAACATTATTACAAAATTTATAACATAATGACAATAGTTTATAGTTTTCAAGGTGCAAAGCATAAATTTATTTATTTATAATTTTTGCTACAACATGACATAAAATATTTCTTATAATTTACTATTTAGAATCACACAACATAATTTTCATGTCATTCCACCGTGTGTTAGGCATTCACAGTCTTTTACTTTTTAGCAATGTTATAAACTCATAAAATTATTATTTTAAAAAAGTTAATGGTCTATCTCCATTATGAGTGTGACTCTACTACTAAATACTAACAAAAATATTTATTACAAAAAAATTAATAGTGTATCTCCATAAAAATAGTATGAATTGTTTCTACTTTTCAAAAAATACTTTTTAGAAAATTATACTCTCTTATTTTTCGTGTTTTTTTATTTTTACTGAATTTTTTTTATATTTTAAGCAATTTTTTACTTTTTAGACATACCTAAAATAAATACATTTAAAAAGTAAAAAAAATTGTAAAATAAATCTTTTAAAAATTCACTAAATACCAAAAATATAAAAAAAATACAAGAATTCAGTATATTTTTTATATTTTTATTATTTATTAATTTTTTAAAATACTTTTTCACAAATTTTTTACTTTTTAGATACATCTAAGTAAGGTGCATCTAAAAAAGTAAAAAAATGTTTAAAATTAAAAAAATATTCACTAAAAATAAAAAAACATGAAAATTAAAAAAGTCAATTTTCAAAAAATTTAATTCAGAAAATTCAAACTAAATACACTGTAGTTTATTTCATTAAATTTAAATATGTAATTTTAAAATAATTTTTCATAATTCATACTATTTTTTTAAATTTTATTTTTAAGATTAGTGAAGAGAGCTTAGCACGTTAGGTGACAACAACTTTTTCATAAAGAAATCATGATGGATCCCACGACCGCCAAGTCATCTTGTTTCTTCCAAACACGAAAAAGAAGAAAACAAAAACAAAAGTGAGATTATAATCACATGTTTTTCATTCACCAATAAAACAATTTTGATTAAGGCCTTGTTTGGAATATTAATTTTTAGTTAAAAGGTTAGAAAAATACTATAAGTTATTAAATTATTCTTTATATTTTTTTTCACAATTTTTCATAAAAAATTAAAAAAATCATAAAAAATTAATTCCCAAATGACCTTTAAGACACTTTTAAAACCTATAATAACCACCTTCACTAGGGATATAATTGATTCAGTACGGTTGGTTTGAGGTAAAAATGTTACCGAATCAATAATGTAAGTTTTATTATTTTGAATACCGATTCAGATCGTTTCATCCATCAAATTACACCGAACCGAACCGATTAAAACGGTTCAGTGTGATGCGGTTTAATCGATTTAGAACTTTTCAAACTTGAACCACTTTTAAATGTAACCACTGATCTATATAAAACCATTGGATTAGTTATTTATCCATCATTTCAACCACCTAATTCATCCGTTTAATAAATATTTTTCAATTCATAAATTAACAAAACTGAAAGCAAGAATAAGTAAAAAAAAATATTAAGGTTTCAAGAATAAGGGTTAGAATTAAAATTATATATAATAAAAATTTACAAATTAATATGGTATTACATTATATAATTATTAATTAATTATACAGATACTAAGGTTAATTAATTAAGATTAATAATTTATTATATTTATTAATATCATTATGGTATTACATTATATATATATTATAAATACAATATATGTTAAAATGGTCGGTTTCGATTTAATTCAGTGTACAAGATACTTGAATCGATACCGAAACGAAAATAAAAAAAAATCAAATTTAAAAACCGCACAACCGATTCTTGCTAAAAAACAAATCAAATATAACCAATTTAGTTCAATTCAATTGATTTAATCAATTTTTTCAATTTTTCTTACTGCTCTAATTTTCACCACCACAACCACTATGGTCACTCCACCTTGACCAACCACCATAATTTTTGTTATTTATTAACATAAATTAGTTGATTAGATTCATTTTTGTAATTTATATTTAATTCAATGTAATTCGTTTATTAAATGAGTTAAGAAATTTATATATGTTTCGAATGATTTTTTGAATTTTTACATAATATCGTGCAAAAAATAGAAAGAGATTTTTTTTGAATGATTATTTGATTCAATCTAATATGAGGTAAAAAAATTGTATGCTTTGAATATTTTTTTAATTTTTGCAAAATATAGTGTAATAAATAGAGAGATTTTTTTTTTTAAAAAAAAACTTTTTGTATAACTATTTATCTTTTTAACTTTTATTGATTTTTGGATTTTTTTAAGGGGATTTTTTTTAGGGTCTCTAGTATTAAGATTTTATAGAATAAAGAACATTCAATATTTTCATTATGTTTAAGGTTTCTAAACATTAATCCAGAGAAATTCTAGACTTCCCAAATAATTTCTTTAGGTTCAAACCAGAGAAAATTGAAATTTCTCTGAGTTTAAACAAGAGAAATCCAGAGAAAATTGAAATTTCTTTGGTTTTATTTACAGAGAATTGAAATTTCTCTAACTTTTTTCACGGAGAATTTCTATGGTTTTATTTACAAATTTCTCTGTGTTTGTTCACAATTTTAAACCAGAGAAAATTATTTTAACTAAACCAGAGAAAATTTTAGCATAATGATTTTAAACTAGAGAAATTGTTTTAACCAAACTAGATAAGTTTTAATTTCTCTATATTTGTTCACAATTTTAAACTAGTGAAAATTGAGTATAATGACAAACATGAAAAGAAGAAAATGAGAGATTGAAAAGAGAAGATAAAATTTATTTTCTCATTTCCCTTCTGCTTCCGAAAT